GTCCCTACTGGTCCAGCCACCACCATCTGCTCCTCTGACAAATGCTGCCGGTGTGGAGTCTGTCTGCCCAGCACCTGCCCACATGAGATCAGCCTCCTTCAGCCCATCTGCTGTGATCCTTGCCCCCCACCCTGTTGTGAACCTGACACCTACGTGCCAACTTGTTGGCTGCTCAACTCTTCCCACCCAGTTCCTGGACTCTTTGGCATCAACCTGACAACCTACACTCAGCCTTGCTGTCAAAATCCCTGTGAGCCCAGCTGTTAACGAGTGAAGTCTTTGCAGAGGTTCGGTGATGTGGCTGCTCAAAATCCTACATGTCATCTCGCCTTCAATATTCGCTGCTACCTAAATCAATGTCAATTGCCAGGGCCATGCTTTCATGAATTTGCTCAACTTCTCAGTTCTTTGTTCCTTTGGGTGGAGCTGGAAACCTTCTTCCCATCTTTTAAGCTATTTCACTGCTCTTTGAGAAATAAGTATTTTGACTATTAGTTAATAAACTTCATTCTGGCTTAGCAAATATGACCTTGTGATTATTTATTTCCATGTTTCTTCTTAAGTAAAGTAGAATGCCTACCTATACCTGAATAGCCACTGATTATCGCACTACCCAAGATTTACCCCAACAGAATGAGAGCTCTCATTGTAGAATTTCTAAAAAATTAGATACTGGCTGTCTGTGATATGTTGAAATGTGAAAAATTCAGTAAGTCATTTTACGCCAGTTACTGTCAAGTCAATTTCAACTCATGGCGACCCCAGGTGTTTCAGATTAGAACTGCACATAGAGTTTTCAATGGCTGTGACCTTTCTCAAGTAGATTACTGGTGCTTTCTTTTGAGGTGTCGCTGGGTGGATTCGAATCATCAACCTTTAGGTTAGTAGCCGAGTAGTTAACTCTGTGTGCCATCCCAGGACTTCAAGTCATCGTATAGGATCTTTCTATTCAATAGATATTTTTGAAGACATACACTATGCCAAGCACTATGCTAGATGTCTAGAGATCAATATAATGTTTAAAAAATATTTTAAGTAATTTTAAATTCCATTGACTCTGACATTTATTTTTCTTTCTTTTTTCATCAACTAAATAAATTGATCACTTCGCTGTGTGTACGAATAATTTTGACTTCCTTAGTTACTGTCATCAGTGAAATTCCAAGCTCAAAATGCAATGCAGTTTCGGAAGTAAATTTAGAAAGTAAATATATCTATATATCCAACATATACCACAGACTGCCAGAAGAATGAACAAATCTGTCTTGGAAGAAGTACAGTCAGAATGTTTCTTAGAAACAAAGATGGTGAGACTTTGTCTCACACACTTCGGACATGTTATTAGGAGGGACCAGCTCCTGGAGAAGGACATCATGCTTGGTAAAGTAGAGGGTCAGTGAAAAAGAGGAGGACCCTTAACAAGAGGGATTGACACAGTGGCAGCAACAATGGGCTCAAATATAGCCAACGATTGTGAGGATGGTGCAGGACCAGGCACTATTTCATTCTGTTGTACGTACAGTTGCTATGAGTTGGAACCAACTCGATGGCATCTAACAAAAATAACAATGTATA